CACGGAGCACGTGGGGGGGGGGGGGGGGGGCGGGATGGGGGGCAGCTTTGGCGCTTACTCTTTGCCGCGCCGCGCTCAGTTTTCACCGCTGAGGCCTCATCTGCATGCACTTGAGACGGCTCCCCCCCCTCCCCCTCCCGGCAAGCTCGGCTAAAAAAAATAGACGGCCTCCTTTTTCAAAACCTCGGCGGTGGCGGCGGAGGTGAAGGAGGGGGCCGAGCCCGCTGAGTGGCTGCTCGGCGGGGTCACGGACCGACGGGGTCGCGGACCGACGGGGTCGCGGACCGACGGGGTCGCGGATTGACGGGGTCACGGACCGACGGGGTCGCGGATTGACGGGGGTCGCGGACGCGCGAGGTCGGTCGGTCGGCTGGCCGGCTAATGGCGGCGCAGAAGTGGGTTGCCGGTCCGTGCCGTGGTTTGAGCGGCGTCTCCGTCCCGCTCCCTGATAATCGTGGCCGGGGATATTCTACCGGGCAGTTTTGGTGTCCTCCCCGCCGCGGAATCCGCACGCGCGCCAGCCGGATCGGCCGAGCGGCCCCGGTGAGGCGGGACCCACCCGACACGCGCCTCCGGGGTTGCCCGAGACTTTCCGCGCCTACGCGCCGCAAAGCTAAGCGTGACACGCGGGCGCGGGGGGCGTGCGATGCGTACGACCCTCGCCGTCGAATCCACGCTGGGCCTCCCCACGCCGATCCTGTCGCTGTGGCCGGTTGACTGCTTCTGACACGCGGGTCGGTGCCGGTCTGGTGGAGGCGGGGGGGGGAGCATAGACGTTGGAGCACGGTGCAGTCCAACAACTCATTTCGGTGCACTGACATCTGCCGATGAGTTAGCCCCACGGAATAAGAATAATATAAAAAAAAACATTTTGAATCGCGATGCCATCCTGGCGTAACGGTTAGCACACCGCGCTTGCGGAGGATTTAGGTGGCCCGTTTTGATCTCCCGGCGCGGCAGTTAAAATAACACCAACACCATGCACGTGTGGCAAATCCTCTGCCCCCCCCACTCACCACCAGCATGCACGAGATGGGTTCTCCCCAGTCAGGCGATTGGCAGGGCAGTAGAAATGTTGTGGGCGAGCGCGCCGCACCCTGTTTCAAAAGACGACACGGCCAGCGTGACGGGGGCTGAAGGGTGACACTTCCCCTCGAGGGATTTGTGGCTGTAGGGTGACGCTTTCCTTCGAGGGATTTGGGGCTCAAGGGTGACGCTTTCCCTCTAGGGATTTGGGGCTCAAGGGTGACACTTTCCCTCGAGGGATTTGGGGCTCAAGGGTGACACTTTCCCTCGAGGGATTTTGGGCTCAAGGGTGACACTTCCCCTCGAGGGATTTGGGGCTGAAGGGTGACACTTCCCCTCGTGGGATTTGGGGCTGAAGGGTGACACTTCCCCTCGAGGGATTTGGGGCTGAACGGTGACACTTCCCCTCGAGGGATTTGGGGCTGAAGGGTGACACTTCCCCTCGAGGGATTTGGGGCTGAAGGGTGACACTTCCCCTCGAGGGATTTGTGGCTGTAGGGTGACACTTTCCTTCGAGGGATTTGGGGCTCAAGGGTGACGCTTTCCCTCTAGGGATTTGGGGCTCAAGGGTGACACTTTCCCTCGAGGGATTTGGGGCTGAAGGGTGACACTTTCCCTCGAGGGATTTTGGGCTCAAGGGTGACGCTTTCCCTCGAGGGATTTGGGGCTCAAGGGTGACACTTTCCCTCGAGGGATTTGGGGCTGAAGGGTGACACTTCCCCTCGAGGGATTTGGGGCTGAAGGGTGACACTTCCCCTCGAGGGATTTGGGGCTGAAGGGTGACACTTCCCCTCGAGGGATTTGGGGCTCAAGGGTGACACTTTCCATCGAGGGATTTGGGGCTCAAGGGTGACACTTCCCCTCGAGGGATTTGGGGCTGAAGGGTGACACTTTCCTTCGAGGGATTTGGGGCTCAAGGGTGACGCTTTCCCTCTAGGGATTTGGGGCTCAAGGGTGACACTTTCCCTCGAGGGATTTGGGGCTGAAGGGTGACACTTTCCCTCGAGGGATTTTGGGCTCAAGGGTGACGCTTTCCCTCGAGGGATTTGGGGCTCAAGGGTGACACTTTCCCTCGAGGGATTTGGGGCTGAAGGGTGACACTTCCCCTCGAGGGATTTGGGGCTGAAGGGTGACACTTCCCCTCGAGGGATTTGGGGCTGAAGGGTGACACTTCCCCTCGAGGGATTTGGGGCTCAAGGGTGACACTTTCCATCGAGGGATTTGGGGCTCAAGGGTGACACTTCCCCTCGAGGGATTTGGGGCTGAAGGGTGACACTTCCCCTCGAGGGATTTGGGGCTCAAGGGTGACATTTTCCATCGAGGGATTTGGGGCTCAAGGGTGACACTTCCCCTCGAGGGATTTGGGGCTGAAGGGTGACACTTCCCCTCGAGGGATTTGGGGCTGAAGGGTGACACTTCCCCTCGAGGGATTTGGGGCTGAAGGGTGACACTTCCCCTCGAGGGATTTGGGGCTCAAGGGTGACACTTTCCATCGAGGGATTTGGGGCTCAAGGGTGACACTTCCCCTCGAGGGATTTGGGGCTGAAGGGTGACACTTCCCCTCGAGGGATTTGGGGCTCAAGGGTGACATTTTCCATCGAGGGATTTGGGGCTCAAGGGTGACATTTTCCATCGAGGGATTTGGGGCTCAAGGGTGACACTTCCCCTCGAGGGATTTGGTCTTTCGGGAGAGATTCTTCTGGCGGAGTTTGGAGAGGTGCGAGGTGCCTCAGCGAGGTGTCCGTTCACCTCACGTTCATCGACTAAATCGGTACGTGCCCACTGTCTCCCTACGAGTCGCGACCGTCAGCGACGCGCGAGGCTCGGGGTGGGGGGGGGGGCGCGACGTTCACGCGACGTTCACGCGACGTTCACGCGACGTTCACGCGACGCGACGTTCACGCGGCATCGCCGTCCGCTCCTCCGACGAGGCCCCAGATATTTTCAAGGAGGTGTTTTTTTGTCTTTCTCCCTTGACCCTGTCGTCTCTACTTCAACTTTCACCATCGCCATCGTCATTGATTATTGACGTATTACGGCGGGGGGGGGGGGGGAAGTAACGGTGGTAGAAAGTGGGGGGGGGGGGAGGGGGGGAGTGAGGGTGGGGGTGGGATGTGGGGGTGTGGGGGGGGGGTGGTGAGGGGGGGATGGGGGGTGTGGGTGGGGGGCATGGGGGGGGATGTGGTAGGGGGGGATGGGGGGGTGTGGGTGGGGGATATTGGGGGGTGGTGTGGGGGGGGCCGTCTGAAACGGTCGCGAGATTCGAGTGATTTTGTCTATTGATTCCGCAGCAAAACAGAACAGCGGCTGTACTTGTTTCTAGCACCCGGGAGAGCTCTAAGGACTAAGGGCGCTGAATGGAGAATAACAGGAGAGAGAGAGAGAGAGCAGTGGAGGAGAGGGGGGGATCGAGAGAGCAGAACTCTCGGGGCCACGAGGAAGAGGGGAAAAAAGACAGTGACAAACACATGGAGAAGTAAACACTGCCTAGAAGGAGGGAATGTTGCAGCCTGCCGCCACAGCGGTGGTGGTGTGACGCTGGCGGTGTAGTGTGTGTCTATAGTGTGTGTGTCTATAGTGTGTGTCTATAGTGTGTGTGTGTGTGTCTATAGTGTGTGTGTGTCTATAGTTGTGTGTGTCTATAGTGTGTGTGTGTGTCTATAGTTGTGTGTGTCTATAGTGTGTGTGTGTGTCTATAGTTGTGTGTGTCTATAGTGTGTGTGTGTGTCTATAGTGTGTGTGTGTGTCTATAGTGTGTGTGTGTCTATAGTGTGTGTGTGTCTATAGTGTGTGTGTCTATAGTGTGTGTGTGTGTGTCTATAGTGTGTGTGTGTGTGTCTATAGTGTGTGTGTGTCTATAGTGTGTGTGTGTCTATAGTGTGTGTGTCTATAGTGTGTGTCTATAGTGTGTGTCTATAGTGTGTTTGTGTCTATAGTGTGTGTGTCTATAGTGTGTGTCTATAGTGTGTGTGTGTCTATAGTGTGTGTGTCTATAGTGTGTGTCTATAGTGTGTGTGTGTCTATAGTGTGTGTGTGTCTATAGTGTGTGTGTGTCTATAGTGTGTGTCTATAGTGTGTGTGTGTCTATAGTGTGTGTGTCTATAGTGTGTGTGTCTATAGTGTGTGTGTCTATAGTGTGTGTCTATAGTGTGTGTGTCTATAGTGTGTGTCTATAGTGTGTGTGTGTCTATAGTGTGTGTGTCTATAGTGTGTGTCTATAGTGTGTGTCTATAGTGTGTGTGTCTATAGTATGTGTCTATAGTGTGTGTGTGTCTAAAGTGTGTCTATAGTGCGTGTGTCTATAGTGTGTGTGTGTCTATAGTGTGTGTGTCTATAGTGTGTGTGTGTCTATAGTGTGTGTGTCTATAGTGTGTGTGTATAGTGTGTTTGTGTCTAAAGTGTGTGTGTCTATAGTGTGTGTCTATAGTGTGTGTGTCTATAGTGTGTGTGTGTCTATAGTGTGTGTGTCTATAGTGTGTGTCTATAGTGTGTGTGTCTATAGTGTGTGTCTATAGTGTGTGTGTGTCTATAGTGTGTGTGTCTATAGTGTGTGTGTGTCTATAGTTGTGTGTGTCTATAGTGTGTGTGTCTATAGTGTGTGTGTCTATAGTGTGTGTGTGTGTCTATAGTGTGTGTGTGTCTATAGTTGTGTGTGTCTATAGTGTGTGTGTGTGTCTATAGTTGTGTGTGTCTATAGTGTGTGTGTGTGTCTATAGTTGTGTGTGTCTATAGTGTGTGTGTCTATAGTGTGTGTGTGTCTAGATTCGTGGTTCTTAACCTTTACTGCAGCCTTGCAACCCCGTGGGTTCTCAGTCGTTACACAATGTACGATGTTAGTAAGCACACAGGTTTGATGAAACAAAGTACTCGTACTCACCTTGCCCATGCTTAATTTGTGTTTTCGATGATTTACCTTCTTAAGAATAAATCTGCCCATGTCTCTCTATCCCCCTACCCCCCCCCCACCCCCCCAGAAAGGGGAATTTCGCGTGCACCTCAGGTCAAGAACCACCGCAGGATCCCCGGACAAGGCCCTCTTGTCTCGGGCCACCGGCGAGGTGGATTTGAGCGGAACGTGAGCGACCGCGGCGGTGCGGCGTTCGATAACTTCGGGGACCCGGTTCGGTGCCCGTCAAGGACTCGTCGTCGCAGTGAAAGCCACCGTTGCTCCCTGCTGCAACGTCGGCTCCTGGCGACCGTGCGTGAGTACGCGACGTCCCTGCCGCCCCCACTATGCTCGTGTTGTGCGACATTTCACTCGTTGTTGTCGTCGTTGTTGTTGTTGTCGTCGTTGTTGTTGTTGTCGTTGTTGTCGTTGTCGTTGTTGTTGTTGTTGTCGTTGTTGTTGTTGTCGTTGTTGTTGTTGTTGTTGTCGTCGTTGTTGTTGTCGTCGTTGTTGTTGTTGTCGTTGTTGTTGTCGTCGTTGTTGTTGTCGTCGTTGTTGTTGTTGTCGTTGTTGTTGTTGTTATTGTCGTTGTTGTTGTTCGAAGCGTGCGTGAGTTTGTTTTTTTCTTTCCCCGGCCTACGCCATTTACCTGCAATGTTGCCTCCGTAACGCACGAGGGGCTCGCGAGTGACGTCATCGCATCCATCCCTCTGTTTAAGAACGAAACAGCTGGAGGATTTCTCCACGGATCTGTCTGCCGCCTGATGATGCTGGTTGTGGTTACTGGAGAAACGCCGGGGGGTTTACTCGCCAACGCACAACCCGGTGTGCTCCACTGGTAGCGAATCGGTGTGCCCCACTGGTAACGAATCGGTGTGCCCCACTGGTAGCGAATCGGTGTGCCCCACTGGTAGCGAATCGGTGTGCTCCACTGGTGACGAATCGGTGTGCTCCACTGGTAACGAATCGGTGTGCTCCACTGGTAGCAAATCGGTGTGCCCCACTGGTAGCGAATCAGTGTGCCCCACTGGTAGCGAATCGGTGTGCTCCACTGGTAGCGAATCGGTGTGCCCCACTGTTAGCGAATCGGTGTGCTCCACTGGTAACGAATCGGTGTGCTCCACTGGTAACGAATCGGTGTGCCCCACTGGTAGCGAATCGGTGTGCTCCACTGGTAGCGAATCGGTGTGCTCCACTGGTAACGAATCGGTGTGCTCCACTGGTAGCGAATCGGTGTGCCCCACTGGTAACGAATCGGTGTGCTCCACTGGTAACGAATCGGTGTGCTCCACTGGTAGCGAATCGGTGTGCCCCACAGGTAACGAATCGGTGTGCTCCACTGATAACGAATCGAATCTCGATTCGAAGCTTTCGTGACTGCAGGAATCGCGACGTTTCGAACTGCGGCAGACATCGCGGCTGTCGCGATTTGCACCTGAAGACGGGCCCTCGTGCTGCGTTCGAAACGTCGTCGTTCATTTTGTTTTATTTTTCTACCCACGTGGACTTTATCCGGAAAGATCCAAAGTGTGCGGTAACGAATCGGCACGTTCTGCGCACGTGACGCAACCTTAGCAGTTGGCTGTGCTGGGCGGTGGCGGGTTTGACGACACATTTCTTTTCGCGCGATCCAACCCAACTAACCCGTGTCGTGGATAACATCGGTCGCCCTACTACTACGCGTTAAACTCTTTGTATCGTCGCTCGCGCTCTCGTTCGATGTTCAACGGTCAACTCGTAAACGCCGCTGAGCGGTGCGAGACCCACCCCCACCCCCACCCCCACCCCCCCCGCGTGTCCGGGAGTGGCTACGCCAACGCATCCCGACACAACTTCTTCCGGTGGAACTTCTCCAGTGAGGCCTTTTTTCATCTTCACACACGGGTGGCGGAGGGCGTTGGTGGGGGTGCAACTTTTGGTCTTCCTCTGAGATGCGTGCGGTGTGTCTGCGTGTGTCCGTGTGTGTGTCTATGCGTGTCCGCGTGTGTCAGTGACCCGAGTTCGATTCCCGCTCACGGCCAACATTGGTGACGATTATTTGAACCGGTCCTGGGCCTCCCCTAGGTCGACTCGTCCTCAAATGAGTACCCGGTGCAGTGTGTAGTAAACCTCGCCACTGGGGAGACAAAGGCGGCCGGGCGTGGTGCTGGCCACCCAAACCCCTCGTGCGCCGTGCCGGCCTTCATAGGTGCTCGCTAACAGCACTTGCCCCAACAGTCTGTGCAGGCTACACGGGGGATCTTTGTCTTTGTTTATCGCATGCTAGCCAAAGCAGCGTTTCATTTCACTCCGAGCTGGAATTCTGCCAAAGTGAAGTGAAAACCCAAAAACCTGCCTGTGGTGTGGCTTTTTTTTATCCTTGATTCCTGACCTGGCTGAGACATTTTCCGAAGCTTGGGAATTGATGATGCAATTTGAACTTCTGTTCTTTACTTACTTATTTAATGGGGCACCACGGTGGCTAGGAGATGTTAACTACCTCGCCTGGTACGCAGGAGGTCGTGGGTTCCATCCCAACCCTGACGCCTGCTGTATATTTGGAGTCTGCGTGTCTCTCACCATCAACACGGTGGCTAGGAGATGTTAACTACCTCGCCTGGTGTGCAGGCGGTCGTGGGTTCCATCCCAACCCTGATGCCTGCTGTATATCTGGAGTCTGCGTGTCTCTCTCTCTCATCATCATCACGGTGGCTAGGAGATGTTAACTACCTCGCCAGGTATACAGGAGGTTGTGGGTTTGATCCCGACCCTAACGCCCGCTGCTGTATATTTGGAGTTTGCGTCTCACTCTCTCTTCCCGTGGTCGCGTGGATTTTTCTCAGGGTCCTCCGGTTTTTCCCTCCACAGTTATAAACAATGCCTTTACACTAATTTAGATTATTTTGCTGCTTTAAATGTCCAAATGATGGTGCCACTTTGTTGAGCCGCGATCATTTTATGGTGGCCAGGTCGCTTCTGAAAAATAAGTTACTACCTCAGTGGGCTTTGCCTGGTAGGATGGTTTAGTGTTGTATTCGTTTGTGTTATTTATTATAAAGGCTTTTGGGTTAGATCGCGTTATTTATAAAAACAAAAAAAAGTAAAAAAAGTGTCACGTTTACAAAGGACAAAATAGTTCACTACTTTAGCCCACCGGTTGTTGAAGAGTGAATCCACAACATTTACAATTTTGAGTACTACGTTTCGCTGGTGATTACATCCAGCAACATCGGGCAATATGCCAGGATGGTGAGGCCCTCCACTTGCTCCCGGTCTTAAATAGAGCAGCAGGGTGACGTCATCATTTAATTCATTCAGGTGCAGTGATTTGAGGTGGAGAGGGGGAGGGTATTGTAATTATATAATAGATTGGTAATCATTCAATTGTTTTTAATTAGTATTAATAACATTTAAATAACGCGATCTAACCCAAAAACCTTTATTATGAATAATATTGGTCGCGAAAGCCTATGTGTTAAACTTTGTGTTATTTCTTTACCTTTATTGTACCTTGCACTCCTATCGTGTTTGTGTCACTGTTTGTTGTTAGGACGCTCTTACCCCCCGTGCCCCTACTGGACATCTGTTGATGAAAGAGCTTCATAGCTCATCGGATTCCTCCTACAGTCTGTAATGGCATATTCCGATTTCTGAACTCCGCTCCGCCCGAGGACCTCGGCTTTCAATCTGCGGGCCGCTGAAACCCAGAATTCTGAACCCCCAGGTGCACACCGCTCCCTTCCCAGCGACGTGAAGTGACCTCTGACCCAGGCCGCCAACCTCTTGGAGTAAAGCTTTTAAACCGGGTTTTATTTATTTTACGATTCCTGTGCTGGGATTTTTTTATTCAAATGGTGAAAATGTAAAGTCGGTTGCGTTTGTAGCAAAGCAACAAGGGCCGTGTGTGTTTGTGCGTGCGTGTGCATCGCGCATTATTTCTGTTGATTACCCGATGAATAAGCCATCCGGTAATGAATATCGATTGTAATTCATGTGAACACATAAACTACCCCCCACCTGATTGGCTCACAAGTGACGACATCACACTTATCCCGGTCTATTCAAGACCAAAACAGCAGGAGGATTTTTCCACAACTGTGTGGCTATCGCCTGATGATGCCACCTGTTGTGATTGCCGGCGAAACGTCACGGCTACTCGAATTGTAAACCTTGCTGTGGGTTTACTCTCCAACACACTAGCACTAGTTACGAGTTGGCATCGTTTTGTTCACGTGACAAACCCTCACTGAACTGGCCGTGCCGTAGGGCGGTGGCGGGTTTAGCGACGCTTAACATTCGCGCGGTTTAACCCAACAAGACCAGGGTTGCACTTTTACATTTTGCAAGCCGTTAAGTCGGCTAAGCAGGATCGCCAATCGGAGTCCGCTTGTTCCACCAGAGTACCGCCTCGTGGCTTCGGGCAGTCATCGGTGACGTTGGTGGCTTTGTGCCATCGCCGCAATTCGCACTTTGGCGGAGTCCGCCGATCGTTGTATTTTCACGTTTCAGTTTCAACTATTTAAACGAAGCTCTTTTTGTTTTAGCGGGTCAGGCCCCACTGAGCTACGTAGCTCTACTTTTGCAGAAGCAACCCTGGCTGTCACAAACGATGGCCGAAATAAGTGGAAATTTAGCGTAGCCAAATACTCTCCACGCGTGTTGTTGATTATAAATGTGGAGGGAAAAACCGGAGAACCCGGAGGAAAATCCACGCGACCACGGGGAGAGAGAGAGAGAGAGACGCAGACCCCAAATACAGCAGCAGCATGCGTCAGGGTCGGGATCGAACCCACGACCTCCTGTATACTGGGCGAGGAATTCGGTGTCACCTGACCACCGTTGGTGAGCGCTGCGGCCGAGAGGTCGTCGATACGGGGGGGGGGGGGGGGGGGGGGGGCGTGGGGAGAAATTTAGAAGAGGGAAAAAAAATGAGCTCCAGCTCCCCCCCTCCCCCCCCCCCAACAACTCCGATATACCGTAAAGTAAGCACTTGAGCACTAAATTAGTGCGGTGTGCGGCGGCGATAAGGATCGTGGCTTTGATGTACGCCCGCGTGAGCCGGAGACGCATTAGTCTGTTTGATGGGCTGCAGGCGCTGTCCGTGTGGTGCTTCGGCACGATAAGCAGGACGACCGGGCGGGGGAGGGGAGAGCGGTGGCGGGCGGAGATAAGGAAAAGCCGCGTGGTGCTCGGGGCGACACGCGCACAGCACCACCGCGAACCCAGCCACGGGATCTCTGCAGGGACTCTCTACGGGGACTATGTGAGGACTCTATCAGGACTCTCCACGAGGACTCTCTACCAGGACTCTGTACGATGACTGTCTACCAGGACTAT